GCATTGTCACTGATGTCGGCCATTATGGTTTTTTAATAGATGTATAGTAATCAATGATTAAAATTTAAAGCAATTGTTTGTAAATAGGTATGCAACACATCGTACCCTTCAGCATAAGAAATTGCTGATACTAACTTTCATTTACGTAATACTACTCTACCCTGTGCTGACAGCACTCATAATTTCTTTTATATATAATATTCATTAGGTGTTTTTTAGTTTATGGGATAGAAAAAACAACGGTTCAACTGAATCAGTGCTGCTAAATGATAACAATGATCGTATTAAACCTCGAAGAAACAATTTTGGCTTCGTTTCCAGGAACAAGAATGACTTAGGGGAATCACAAAATTCGCTATTTTTTTTTAAAGATGAAAATGTACATCGTAATAAGAGGAAAACAAACCACAATATTAATAAGGCAACGCAACAGTATGATACTTCAAAACAGTTATTTAATAAAGTTCGTTATCGTAGCGATGTAGAAAAAGTGAGAGCCCTTTCAAGATCAGAAGTTCTCTCCTCGAGATGGATGAAAAATGGCGATAATAACCAACAACATTTGCCGCAGATTTGTTCTGCTTCTGTTTTGTCAGCGAGATTTCCTGTTAAAAAAACAGTTGTTGTCGAGAAAAAAGTTGAAAGTGGCCATTCACTTATTTTACCTCCTATTAAAAACAATCGCGAAAGCCGGGTATTCCCCAACGATATACTTCCCGTTGTGAATGGAATTAGATCGACCAAAAAACGCTATTCAAGTACTTTAAATAATAATCAATACAAATCTGTGAGATTGAGGGATGCCAGAAGAAAAAGCGACAACAGTTGGCTATAATTATGTACTAAACATTAACATGTATCTATTTATTTATTGTAAACGGGTAGTTATTAAATACTCTAAAATTAATAGTGAAAAATTGGAGTTAGATAATGTGTTGAAACATAACATAATATATACCTTTTAATGCATATTATGTATGTCCTGTATATGATGTAATAATTTTATTTTTAATATGAGAAGTAAAGCAGAAACTTATACTATAATAAATAACTTCTAATTGCATAAACTGAATACTAAACCGTATTTAAGTATAAAAAGATAAGTGACAAAGTACAAAACTTGACAGCTCAGCTGTCGATGTAACACTTCCGTTTATGATACTGGCGGCAAGTTTAATTCAAATAATTCTTTCATATTTGCTTTAAAGAAAAGTATAAAACATAAAAAAATGCATAGTTATTAAATAAAACATGTAAGGCTTATTACAGCATGTTATTGATAATAAATATTATAAAATGCAAATATTTTTCATCAAGCAGTAGATAGTTTTGAAATATTGTTAATGTAAAATAAAAAAGATTATAAGTAACTTATTCAAGATTAATGTAAATAATTCTCGAAAACATTACAGTTAAGTAATGCAATTCAATCGNTACCTTTAGCAAAGATAATATGCTACATTAACTGTTGCAGTTTTAATATTTAGATAAAAATTGTGTTTAGTTTCTTTTGTTTATGTTATTTATGTACTTTATAGTTATTCTCGATGTCGACCAGAATAAGATATTAACATAGGAAGTAAAACCGTAATTAGTTAAGAAAGCATTAAGAAAGCAAGCTGCCCTTAATTAGTTAACTAATCTTGTTCTACTATCTTTGTAAATCTGCCTTTTCCTGTATAGGAAATTCTATTGGATCTTTTTGATTCAAAACTAGAATCATTAAATTATTAAATCTTTCGAATAACAACTGTTACAACAGGCAAAACCAAGTTCTTTTTTAAAATAATTGAACAGAGGTAACATAGGTATAGTCATTTGTCAACTATCAGTCATAAAAGTAGTTGAATGGTAAAGCAAAATATAATAACTTAACTTATAGAAGCGGTTTGAGTTTTCATTCATTAAAATTTTATCAGTTTTTCAAAATTCTTACCATTACCAGGAGAAGCAAAGCTGACAACGTCACGAAACTCCTCTCTATATAATAATAGACNACAACGCCTAGCAATTTTTGATTCAAAAACTATCTTTTTCGATTACGCTAAAACTTATTTTAGACAGAACACGTCATTTGTTAAGATTTTATATCATACAAATTAAAACTGACTTAAACCACTGCAAAGAACAAAACTTTGCTCGTCCAAATTTAAAGTTTGATGAATTATTTCCTTCAATGTCACAAAAACACATACAAATTAAAAAACGAAAACTAGCCTGAACCATTGTAAAGAGCGAAATTTTGCGTACCCAAGTTTGAAAATTGGTTGAGATGCCGAAAATACGAATTATTTCCTTCGATTTCACAGAACACATTTTCATCAAAACACATGTCATTTTACTCCACCTTACTGATCATTAATCCGTAATTCAACCAGATAAAAATAAAGAAACCTGGTAATTAAGATTGTAATGGGATAAGCCATTCGTCCTAATTTGTATTATTTATTGATTGCTACACTAAATTATTTGTTACTTGGATATAGTAACACTATATACTCGCTTCAACAGTTTCAACTTGATCTTCTCGTGAAAATCTGCCAACCGAGAACTAAAGTTTCAATGGTTGTGTTTCAACTACTTTTTGAACGGGATTTTGTGTTGATGAGGGAGGTATTTAATGGAAAGCCCGCCAGAACAAATGCAGGAACCATTAACAGTAGTGGTTTTGTCGGACACCCAGTACACCTAAAATTACTGTCCGGTGCATCTCCAGTTTTGGGGAATGCAATATCCATATATTTTCTAAAAAAACTGTCATGCAAGTTCGCTCAGTGCCGGCTGTAAGAGAAGAGAGACCCGGTTACAAAATTTAAAGAGAGTTCATCTTAAGAAAGTGCTTCAAATAATTTTATTAAAAACAAAAAAAAATTGACAAGATTTGATATAGTAACTGCCCCCAAGCTGACGTAATGATGGGTTTGTTGGGCATTGGGAATATTTGTTTGAAGTATTGAAAATGGGGGGGGGGGCCAAATAATTNTTTCAAGTACTTATTCGTTTATTTTCCCACCATGAATATTTTACACTTGTTTTTTATTTTAACAGAATAGGTACCTATTTGCTATAGTTTTAACAACTTTATGTTTAATCAACGTGATCTGTAAAAAAGTTACTTTAGATCAAATTCAATCTACTTTGGTGGTAATTGATTCAAAAGAAATATAATAGGCTTGTGGAAGTAGATTAATTGAGATTTGTTAAGAAATAGTAGTAGTAAGAAATAGTAGTAAAACAGTAGTACGCACCCTTAATGTTATCGAAGACATCTTCAGCCATTACATGAAGTGACGTCTAAAACAACGCATATGTACAAAATAAAATGGCGAATATACATGGGGAACCCCCCCCCATCATCCATTATTCACAAAAACGAGAATATAAACAGAGGAAAAGTACACATTTTAATGAGACAGTGTTCATGAGAAATAATGCAATAATTCTGGCAATTCCTGAAAACTAGCATCGATGTTATTAATTACTGTTTGACTTAATTTCAACATAAATTCTACCCTGCAATCTGGACCCTGAAATTAAACGATACTTGGGTTAGTAAGTAGTTTTTACAAAGTATTCAGGGCATAACTGTCAATGTCTTTTGTTTCCTGTACACAAATGGGTTCTTAAACCGTTAATAAAAGAGACAATACCTTAACACAAGTTTTTCGCAACCAATCAATCAACAACGGCAATAATTGTTGAATTACATTAACCTCTATACGCTTAATGTATAGATAAATTCAAAACTAATTCGATTATCTACGGTAAAAAAAAATAGGTGTTAATTTGTTTTAATCTTTTTGCCATAATCAGAATGAAGCACAGAGTCGATTTTGTTTTTCCTAATATTTGCGATCAAAGAATGAAAATACGTTGCATATTTATAATAACAATATCCGCAGTGAATTAATAACAAATGCCGCATTGCATGCTGTGAAGAACAATTTCTACCCTATTACGTACTCATTGCATTACTGCATTTGAAATAAAAAATCGTTTTTAGCATGATGCTATCGTTTAGTTTTATGGTCATATAATAATATTACGAACGAACGAATGTGTTTTTCCTGAAGCGTGAAATTACCAACCCTTAAGTAAATAGGGAAAATGGCAAGAAATATCATTTCCATCCTAACGTTTTTAATTCTAAATTTACAAATAAAAATATTGATTGGTCGTCGTCCACAAATATGACAAGAGAAACAGTAAAAAATCCAATAAACTAGAAAGGGAATTTGTCTTAGTTACTACTAAATATTTTCCTTGTAGACGCACGTGTTTCCTCCAATGCTAATGTGAAAACAGGCACCCCTTTGTTTCTGCTATCTAAATACAAAATTATAATCACTTCTTTCTTTTTTATGCATTTACATAGTTTTTTTAACAAGTACGTAGAAGCAAAAACAGAATTTTAGGTTTA